GTCGTATCTGCCCTCTGAGAAGCTTCGGGGTCCCAGTACCAGGGCTGGTACGTCACTCTCTCCGTCCACGTATCCACCACGGCTCCCACCTTATACAGTAACTCCATGCCCAACAGGAGATCGTAGTCCTCAGAGTCTGAGACGAGACAGTGTACTCTGATTCGTGTTTCCTCCGCCGTCCCCGGAGATAACACCACTTCCTGCGGGCGTAGTGTCTTCGGGAGCCACTTCCCTTCTCCCCCTTCTGCCGTTTGAATGCGTGTTCCTTCCGGAGTCACGTTCTCTGGGCGGTGCAGTCCCAGCCGCTCAGCCAAGCGTCTCCCCACCAAGACTTGTGAGGCTCCCGTGTCTATAATGGTGGTGCCTGGGTACTTTCCTTCCACCGCCACTGCTCCTTCTTCTGCTTCCACCACGCATGGGCGGGAGGCCATCCTCTCGTGTGGATGCCGCAGTGGTCCTGGCCCTCCTCTGGCTCTCCTCACTGCCTGTTCTGCAGCCTCCACCGACTGCTCTCGCCTCTGTTCTGCTTCCAGCCTGGGTCCTCTCCTGCTCTGCCCGACCGAGCGGCGCCTGTCCGCCCCTCCACTCCGCAGCCCCATGTCCTCTCGGCCCCTGTTGCCCTCCGATGCCATGAAGAAAGGCTCGGGGCCCTCCTCCTCTGAATCAGATGGTGGCTTGGCCATGTGTGTCGGCAGATCCTCCTCTTCTTCCACCGCCTCTTCTTCCGCCTTGAGCTTCCTTAATTCTTCCTCCAGTGCCTCGATCCGGCTCTTCCTTCCTCCCCGCGTCCGCTGCTCTCTCTGCTTAGTGTAACAGTTGTCTGCCCCATGTCCCTTGTGCCGGCAGTAGGTGCATGTCTGCAGCTTGGGGCAGTCACGTTTGAAGTGACCCAGTTCCCTGCACTTAAAGCACACCGGCTCCTCTCCCGCAAGCGGCGGCGTCGCACTCCTTCCTCTTCTGGGCTTGTTAGTCTTCTCAGACTTCCTTGCCTGCTCCTCCGCATCTGACTCACTGTCCGCCAGCAGCACGCCACCCCACGCCACGCCTCTCCTGTCTCGGTCCCTTGTAGGCCTCTCGGCCCTTCTCCCCATATCATACAGGCTCAGGGACTGCTCGTGACGCCACGCGATCTCATACGCCTGCCTTAGCGTTGCATTAGGCCCCAGATCGTAGGTGCGGTCTCTCACTGTCCTCGCTAGCTCTCCAGACAACCCATCCAGAAATTTTGCGACGATGATCCGTGGCTCGCTGCAGCCTATATCCTCCGCCAGCTGATCCACCCTCCGATAATACGCCAGCAACGACTCCTTGGAGGCTCGTCGCACTTGCTCGAACTCCCTCATCCTCGCGGGAGTCTGCGTCGGGAAGTGGGTCTGAAGCTCCTCCAAGAATCGCTCCGTCGGATCACGCAGCCTCAAAATCCGCCCTTCTTCGTCGCGGCACAACCTCCCGCTCTTATCCCGCTCCTCCTCTTGCAACAGGAGATCCCTGACCTCGAGGAAAAACGCTTCCGCCTCGCCTGCGAGCGTGTTTCCGAGCGAGCGGAAGAAGTGCCTCAGGTCCAAGCCGTCCATCTCCCTGCAGTACTTCTCGCTCCGTACATGCATCGCGTAGGTCTTGAAGCGCGGACCCGCCTCTTGGTCCCCAGTAAACCGACTCGGCACCTCCACCTTCGGGAGACTCGTGTACCGATATCGATTGCCTTCTTCCCCGAGCGATCTCCGCTCTGTTCCGCCAGCAGTTATCCTTCCCGCCCCGGCCGATTCTCGAACCTCCCTGGATCCCGGCCGCGGTGATACCGATCTGTTCTCCGATCGCCTTTCTGCCCTCATGGCGAAGCCTTCGGACACACGCGTTCTCTCTCGGCGCTCCGCGGAATCTTCCCGAGACTCCTTCTCGCGGCGATCCTCGCTCCGCCCTTCCCGGCTGGCCTCCGGCTCCTTCTCATCCATATCCTCCCCCGTCCTGGCTGAAGGCTGACTGCCTTCCGCAACCGACGGGACTTCTCCTGCAGGCAGCTTCGTGCCACTGCGCAGCGACATCCCTGACATCGCTCAGACTCTTGCTTGTAAGAAGGCGCTCAGAATTAGTCTTCAAGCCCCAATCTCTTCTCTCAGCGTCTAGCTTAACCGCTCGTCGCTTGGCTTCTCAATCGCAGATCTAGTCGTAAAGCAGTGAGAATCCTTCATTCACTAGCAAGCATACAGACTTTCCCACGAGTTCAAGAAGACAAGCAAGAGTGGCAGCTCAGGTTCCCTACCTAGGCTTATCACTCCCTTCCCGTAGGGTCCCTTCTCCTCCTGGGCTGCTACCCCTGCTCAGCATCGAGATCTACTCCGAAGCGCGCGAACCTCTTCCACCCTTGGACATTTCTCGTGACCCCTCCCCCGAGTCGCTCCAGTCAGCTTTGACCCAATCTTGCGTCACTTGGGCGTTGGGTTACTCACCCTCGACCCTCGTGGCTGTTTTTACTGTATATATCCCTCCCGTCTACAGTACACCCGAATTATCACATTTGTCACCCTTATCTATTTCCTGTCCATACACTGGTCATGTTTTACCTTTAGAGCTGTCCCATGAATCCTTTGATGCGTGTTTCATCAGGAGTCATGCGACACTCTCACCACCAACGTATATTCGTTTCCTCAAATCCCCCCTTGTTGCATGTTTCAATTTCTGCTTTGTTTTTTGCATTCTCTTTTTGCTTGCATCTTCACCAGCAACTTATCTTTCTTTCCTTAGCTCCCCCTGTTGCATTTCTGTATGGCAGAGCGCAACATGGCGAAGTGGAGATCTGGTGAGGGCGGCTGCAGAGCGTGAAGTGTGGCAGCAGCAGCTACACGGGAGGAGGGAGGCGGGTTGGCGTGCGGAGGAGGAGGGAGCAGGAGCAGCACCAGCAGCGCCTTCTTTCAAAAGGAAGTACGGGGCTCAGGGAGGGGACCAATTTCCACTCTGTTTCCGCATTCGTTTCGTTCTGTTGTCGCATGTCTCAATTTCTGTTTCATTTTTTGCATTCTCTTCACCAGCCACTTATCTTTCTTCCCTTAGCCCCCCCCTCTTGCATTCCAGTACTGCAGAACGGGAGGCGTGGCAGCAGCAGCTACACGGGAGGGACGAGGGAGGCGGGTTGGCGTGTGGAGGAGGAGGGAGCAGCAGCACCAGCAGCGTCTTCTTTCAGAAGGGAGTACGGGGCTCAGGGAGGGGACCAATTTCCGCTCTGTTTTCGCATTCGTTTCGTTTCGTTGTCGCATGTTTCAATTTCTGTTTCGTTTTTTGCATTCTCTTCACCAGCCACTTACCTTTCTTCCCTTAGCCCCCTCTCTTGCATTCCTGTACTGCAGAGCGGGAGGCGCGGCAGCAGCAGCTACACGGGAGGGAGGGAGGCAGGTTGGCGTGCGGAGGAGGAGGGAGCAGCAGCACCAGCAGCGCCTTCTTTCAGAAGGGAGTATGGGGCTCTGGGAGGGAACCAATTTCCGCTCTGTTTTTGCATTCGTTCCATTTTGTTGTCGCATGTTTCAATTTCTGTTTCATTTCTTTGCATTCTCTTCACCAGCCACTTATCTTTCTTCCCTTAGCCCCCCCCTCTTGCATTCCTGTACTGCAGGGCGAGAGGCACGGCAGCAGCAGCTACACGGGAGGGAGGAGGGAGGCGGGGTGGAGTGCGGAGGAGGAGGGGTGAGGCGTGAGGGGTGAGGGGTTAGGGGTGGGGTCCCCGTGTGCTGTTCTTGAGGCGCCTCAAGACAGCTGTGATCCGCCGGTGGCGGTTCTGTTCTGTTTACTGCAGTGCACTGCAGCTTGTCGTTGCGTGTCCGTTCCTGTCAGTCCGTTGGTCCCTGAGCTTTGAGAGACGTCTCAAAAATCGTTTTCTCCTCACTGCAGAGTCGCTGCAGTGAGCAAACTCTGTGTTTTGGGATACACCTGAAAACCCATTTCTCTTGTTCCTCACAGCAGCCTAGCTGCAGTGAGCAAAATTACACAGCTGGTCAAGCAGCAAGACTGGGCAGCAAGGACGGGCAGCACCTGCTTTGAGGATGATTTTCATCTGCCCCCGGGCAGTCTGCATTGTGTTTTTTCTCTCTCTCCCCCCCCCCAACAGGGTCCTAAGCGATGGTTCCCACCTCACCGTGGTGCTTGGGTGTAACGTCAGGAGCTCTGCTCCTGGCGGCCAAGAGGAACCCACCATGCACACATACAGTGCATGGGTAGAAAACTATATGATTATTAATATCTAGTTTTTGATTAGATTAGTAAATATTTATTAGACGGTGATGATACATATCAGCAGGTTTACAGCTCACAGTAGTGGTGGCAGTGAAAGACTCTTTAGGCATTACTGTACTAGACGGTGGTAGTGGCAGGCAGGAAAGGAATGATTTTTAGTTTACAGTCCTGCTGAAGTACATGAATTTATACGGTTGTAGCATTACTGCACAGCAGTACGGTAGTAGTAGCTGCAGCAATGGTGGAATGGGAATGCAGAAAAGCATGACGCTTAGAGTTGATTGATAATCTTGACGATGAAACGGCATACCAGTAGGTATGTACCGTAAGAGCATTTTGAAGGGCGCACTGTCTGTATTGTCAACAAAAAGTATCATTACCAGTTCTTCAGGTCTATGTATGACAAATCAGAAGCAGTTCTTATGGTACTACTGACGTTTCACAATTACACAACAATGTATGGTTGAGGGGCTACAGTTCGTTGCACCGTACGAGCTCAAATGAGTGCCGTAAAAAACTAACAGAGGATACGAAACTGGCGAAACATATTTGGCTTCTGCTGTATTGGCCTTACACTTAGTATGCCTCCGCAACACATGCTACCGGTACATTGCAGCACTCATACCGGTACCGTAGTACCACCGTTACTGCCAGGCATGTTCAGCACCGTAGCTGCGGAGCGGAGCAGCAGTAACTCGTTCTCCTGCTAGCACCAGTAGCTCATGTATAACTCATTCTCCTGCTAGCGCCTTTCCCCTGGTGGTGCCGGCCGGGCGCCTCTAGCACTGCTTGCATGACTTGCGGCACGACTCGTGCATGTAGGCAGGGTTCTTCTCGCACTCCCCACTCGCCGCCCAGCTGGGACAGCTGCACCCACCACCAGCACCACACACATACACGCACACGGGGTGAGACACACACAGGGCAGCGATGAGCAGATGAGCAGAGAGCAGTGCAGCACAAGAAAGAGGATGAGGCATATTGAATATCCACACAGGCATGCATGCATGCACGGCCATGACAGTGGCATGCATGAAATATCATGACGTGCCTCCATAACTGCTCCCAACCAACCCACACACTCATGCTCCTCCGCCCACATGTGCACACTCCCCAGTCCACTCACAAACGCACATGCTCCCCAGTCCACTCACAAACGCACATGCTCCCCAGTCCACTCACAAACGCACATGCTCCCCAGTCCACTCACAAACGCACATGCTCCCCAGTCCACTCACAAACGCACATGCTCCCCAGTCCACTCACAAACGCACATGCTCCGCAGTCCACTCACAAACGCACATGCTCCCCTGTCCTCTCACAAACGCACATGCTACCCTGTCCACTCACAACCCACACCCCCCCACATACGCTCCTGCACCCACATTTGCACACTCCCTAAACCACTCAAATGGCACGCTTCCCCACCCACTCACAATGCCCACTCCCCTGGCCACTCACAAGGCGTTGGCATCAATGCACCCCGACAGCACCCCCTGCCCGCCGCCCGCCATGTCAGCCAAGCCGACCCCGCCCGACGGCCCCGAGTAGGTCTTGCTGAAGTCTGCGACGTGGATCCACTTGGGTGCGGACCACTTGACCCCCTCCACCACAGGGCATGCGTAGTGCAGCGACGACGGGTCGGGCGAGCCGTCCGGGTGCATGCTGTAGAAGAGAAGCGCGTCGCCTTTAGAGGGCTTCACTGGTGGGGTGGGGGCCCGAAGGGGGGGGAAAGGGGACGGTGGATGGAGACATGCTTAGTGCAGCGACGAGGGGTCGGGCGAGCCATCGGGTCGGGATGCATGCTGTAGAAGAGAAGGGCGTCGCCTTTGGATGGTTTCACCGGTGACAGAAGGGGGCAAGGGGAGAGGGGAGGGACGGTGGGAAGTGGAGGAATGAGGATGGAGGCACGCGTGTGCAGCGAGGAAGGGCCCGGGCGAGTCGTCCGGGAGCATGCTGTAGAAGAGAAGAGCATCGCCCTTGGAGGGCTTCACTGGTGGAGTGAAGGGGGGGAGGCAAGTTGAGTGGCACAAAACGCATGACAGGGGGGGAGGTGGGGAGAGGGGAGTTTAGAATGAATACAGTACGTGCATTCAGCAGCTGCTTCCGTACACACCCCTCTGCTCAACTTCTCCATTCTCCTCTATCCGTCCCTACCCCTCCCCATCTCCGGCTCCACTCCCCCTATTGACCAAGTTTCCGTTTGCCATGTCGCACCGCCTGCTCCCTCCGCTCAACACGCCCGCTTCCTCCGCGTTCCCCCCCCTCCTGGTCCCACAGCCTATCCCCTACACACATCCTTATCCACCCCAACCCCTTCTGCTGCCACTTCACCCCACCCCCCCTCACCACCATCTGCCTTCCATTCCTCCACCCTTCCCTTCCCTGCTCTCCTAACAAGCTTTCCCCTCCCCCTCCCCCTCCCCGTCCCCCCTCCCCCCTCCCCCTCCCCCCTTCCCCCTCCCCACTCCCCCCCTCACCAGCGAGTTTCCCCTGGGCGCAGTCAGTCCACGATTCATCCTTGGGCGAGGGGTCGTCCGCAGTGGGGAAACACCCTTACCCGCCCTCTTCCACAGGCGAGCTCCCCCCTCCCCCCCTTCCCCCCTCCCCCCCACTCGCCCCCTCACCAGCGAGTTTCCCCTTGGCGCATTCAGTCCACGAGTCGTCTTTGGGCGAGGGGTCGTCAGCGGTGGGGAAGACGGTCTCCCCGCCCTTGGTGACGTTGTTGAGGTACATCAGCACCGTGGCGTACCGGTGCCCACCGCGCTTGCGGTTGTTGGGGTCGTGAAAATAGTCCACGTGCGGCTCGTACTTCTGCCCCTTCTCGTACCGCAACACCTGTTGGGGTGGGGGGTGGGGGAGTGTAAGGAGAGTAATTCGCGCGCAGCACACTCCGCGTTGATCGCGTCCTTGCATCTCCCCGGCATCACCTCCCTCCTTCCACCCCACCCCCCCCCCCCCCCCCCCCCCCTTCTCCCTCCCCCCTCTCCCCCTCCTTTTTCACCGCGTCGCACCTGCATGGCCTCCTGGTTGGGGAGCGGCAGGAAGGTCCACTGTGCGATGCGCGCCTCGATGCGCGCGATGACCGCATCCTCCGCGACGGCGATGAACATGCCGCTGCTCGTGCGGATCGAGCTCAGCTCGCTGTGCCCGTCCGTGTTGTCCGCTACCGACGACCTGCGCCGAGAGGGAGGGAGGGAAGAGGGGGGAGGAGTGCAGAGGCGGGGAGATGGATGTGCGGAAGGGCATGCGCTCAGCTCGCTGTGCCCGTCCGTGTTGTCCGCCACCGACGACCTGCGAGGTGCACGCGGGGGAATCGGGGGGGGAATGGGGGAGGATAAGGGTCGGAGGGTCGGGTGGGAGATGGTCGGGCGGAAGGCAGAGCGTAAAGAGATTCGCGCATGACTTCGCCTCGCTCAGCTCGCTCTGCCCGCCGTGTTGTCCGCCACCGACGACCTGCGCGGAGCACACGGGAGGGAATGCGAGAGCGAATCCGTCATCCGTGAGTTTTGCGTCGACTCACTAGATTTCTCGTCACAATGTAACAGGGAGCTTCGTCTCGTCACATGGTCACACGGCGAGTCGTACCGCTGGAGGCGCGGTGTGGCGATTTTGATGATGTGGTCGCATTCGTCGTCCGTGAGGAAGTTACGGTAGAGGTACGCGCGCGGCTTCCACGCCGACAGCTGCACTATCCGGCTGAAATCGATCCCCCTCGCGCGCGCGCCGTCATCCTGCGCACACGCAGCAGCACGGACGTGATTGCTGATCAGCGGGGAGCACGTGATTGCTCATCGACGGGAGCGCGAGAGGTGACTAATCGGCTAACACTGCGTCGCTGGACTCCCGCAATGTTACTGACGAGCATGTACACATCGGCGCGCAACAATCACGTTCTCGGGTCGAGAGATCAGCTCACCGTGGTTCGACGAATGGTGCGCTTCTGAGCGAAGGATGCACCGAGGAGATTTTTTATTTGCGGGAGCGCTTCGACCATAGCAGAGAACGCTAATAGGTAGAGCACCGCTAGATACGGAAGGTGTACACATGATATCCGCGCCATTGTAGTTAGTCCTACGAGACGCGTGGGAAATATTCCTGGAAGTACTACGATTGAAACTAATCTGCTGTATCTCGCGTGTTGAACTAGTTACTTGTGTAAGGAATTTCGACTACTCGTAACGCCACTGATAACTGCGATGATTGTGTAGACACTGCCAAGAGGAAGCCACCTCTCTTTAGCCACAAGTTAAGGGAAAAACAGAGTTAAGGAACCCTAAGTTAAGGGAAAAACAGAGACTTTAATCACCAATACGGGAAAGCTGAGAAAGCAAGTTTAGTAGGCAACGTGACGAGTAAGATATGAAAGCTCTAGTGACGGGAGGAGCGTGGTATTTTCCGTCCCTCACTTATCTCAGCTCCTAATCTACACCACCACACCATACCGCACACCGCACCCCACCATAGCACTCCAGTATCTCGCTGAGTGAGACTGCAGTAAACTGAGGACCTGACGAGGTCCGGCTCGGCATGCCTGCGGAAGGCGGTTTCGTCAGGTCAGGTCTGTTGCGCTGACCAGTCAAAGCGCGGCGTCAGGCACTGTTTCTGGTACTGTACGCAGATAGGTTTGGTTCGGGCGAAGGCTCTGCTGAGGGGCGGGATTTGGCATGGCAAATGTGTGTTGTGTGTTGGATTGGGTGGGACTCCGCGCACCGAAACTGAAACCGCGAGGACAGCGCATGACAGATTGACGGCTTCGATCAGTTCCATTTCCTCCTCGAAACGTGAGTAACGTGGCTGTGACGTGTTTTGTGCCCAAAGTACAGCTGATGCTCACCCCATGCACGCGAATTTGCCTTGCGCCGGATGGATACGCTGCACCCGAGGTTGTTTCCCCAGCCTCATGCACCTACATTACAAGCGCATCGCGTGGTTATCAACCAATAGTAACGAACAGACCGAAGTCAAGCAGAATAGACTGAAGTCAAATATGGTAACAGATCTTGTATATAAGCACATGCGAATCCTTTTTAGCTAGCTGCGAATTGACGAAGCTTAGCGAAGAAACTTGTTACAGCTTATACGCCCCCTTCACAAGGCAACCGGGAAGGGCTCAAACAGGCATCAGGTGTACCAACTTCGCTGTCCAGCGCATTCAACTCGACAGCGAATGAAGCTATCGCGCATCGACGATCACTCGGGGGCCACGAGGTTTGGGCGCTTTTCTCCCAGGGCGCGTCGCGCATTTGCACCGCTGGCAGCAATGTTCCAGCACAGCAAAGAAAAATCACCTCCAGAATGGCTTGCCTCGAGATAAGTTTCTAACAACCACCTCCGAACCAGATCTTTGAGCTCGGTTCAGTCAAAACAAACGAGGCGCCAAACCTACAAACAGTTCCGCTTTCTCCTAGTCTTTCGGAATTTTCAATCAAGGCGAGCGGTCAGTCGATCGTTCTCAATGCCATTAGTTTGTAGTCCACACCACAGGTATACTCGCGTACCTTATAGAGACACTGCATGTGCTGCTAATCTTCCAGTCTTCTACACTTCAAAAAGCGCCACTAAGATTTGACTCCGCAGGTCTTGCCACGCACACACGACGTAGCACAATACCTTCCCTACGAACCGCGTCAGCCCCCCTTCCGCTGGTATGCGACGATTAGACAGGAAAATGCAGCCAGCGTGGGTCGCGTGCCTAGCTCTCCACGTCATCGTCTTATCTCTCCTACCCACCCTCCTCGTGCGTGCGGGCGACGTCCCCGGCGAGGCGGAGTCGTTGCCGGGATGGAAGGGCGCCACCTACGTCCTACCGCCAGGACTTCGGGTAACTAATCCCGCCACAGTCATCAACCGACTCAATTAGTGCTTTATCCTTCCCCCAGCTGTCACACTAAGAGCGCAATAATCTCCGTGGCGGGTGCGCATGCAGGGGCGGGAGAGGGACGCGGCGAATGAGAGCCCTGAGCTGCCGGAAGCCGGTCTCGCGCAGGGAGATCAGCAACGGAGGCGGCGGACGGAAACTGAAACGCAACCGCAGGCAACTGAGCAGTTGGGTCAAGGTGACTCTAACGGGGGAGGAGACTCCAGCGGGCGCGCCATTATTCAGCTATCGGCGGACGAGCCGCGCGCGTACCTTTTCAAGCGGTTCCTGACGGACGAAGAATGCGACCACATCATCTCTCTCGCCGAGCCCTCGCTCGAAAGGTGCCGCCACGGTTGATTAGATTCTGACTGATATAACCATTATAGTCCAATTGGCGTCCAATGACGCTACCACGACAGGTGCACCGCGATAGCAGCACCGTGGGGGATGAAAGGTCTCAGTCTCTCCCTCTTGCCTCCTCCGTGCGTTCTCCTTCCCCTCTCAACCGTCCCTCAGATCGACGGTGATCGCGGCGGCGAGCAGCGGCAGCGAGGTGAGCGACATTCGCACGAGTTTCGGGACGTTCATCGACAAGGGCGCGGACGACGTGATTGCGCGCGTCGAACGGCGCATCGAGGCGTGGACGCACCTGCCCGTGTCGCACCAGGAGGCGCTGCAGGTGAGCAATGGCAAGGAGAGGGAAGGATGGGAGAAGCTCGAGCAGGAGAAGGTAGGCCGCGGGGAATGAGCGGCAAGAGGAAGGAATCAATAGTGGCCCAGATCGAGCACGGGCGATGGAAACTCAACCACCCACTTCAGCAACCCGTCCCCCTGCTCCACCGCTCCCCTGCTTACCCCACATCTTCCCCATATCGCTCCTTCACCCGCCGCTTCCCTGTCATAGAAAAATGGATCACAACAAAGGATGCGGTGCAAGCCCCACAAATTCCCCTCCTCCTCCTTGCCTTCCCCTCACCCCTGACGTCCCCACCCTCCGTCCTTCCATTGCTCCCCTGCACGTCTTGTAGCCAACCATAGGGCAGCCAGCAGACAACCATAGGCAGAAGCATCAGCAGAAGTACGGGCAAAAGCATGTGGCATACGTTGGCATGTGGCATCCCTGCTTCTTATGCTTTCCCTTCCCCCCCCCCCCACCCATCAGGTGCTGAGATACAACGTGGGGCAGAAGTACGTGCCTCACCACGACTACTTCTCTGATCCACCCGAGACGCTGCAGGGCGGGCAGCGGCTGGCCACCGTGCTCATGTATCTCAGCAACGTCACCCTTGGCGGGGAAACCGTCTTCTCCAATGTCCCCGACCCCACTCCCAAAGACCACTCCTGGTCTGACTGCGCCAAGGGTTACCTGGCAGTCAAGCCCGTTAAAGGGGACGCGTTGTTGTTCTTTAGTATGCACCCGGATGGGACGCCGGATGAGGCGAGTATGCACTATGCGTGCCCGGTGGTGGCTGGGGTGAAGTGGTCGGCACCCAAGTGGATTCACGTGAGGGAGTTTGATGTGCCTGGGGAGGAGGGGGATCCCAATGTGTGTGCGGATACGAATGGCATGTGTGCAGAGTGGGCGGAGGCAGGGGAGTGTGAGAAAAACAGCAAGTATATGGTTGGGGGGAAGAGGTTTGTTGGGGCTTGCAGGAAGGCGTGTGGAGTGTGTACAGCTGACAGCACCAATGTGACTGCTGCTGGTGGTGAGGCTGTGCAAAGAGCTGCCTCGTAGGGTGTGGTTGAGTGGAATGACATGGTAATACTCTTGGCTGGCACCTCAAGATATGGGTGGAGTAGGTTGTTGGCTGTGGGCCCTGGATCAACCTTCATAACGAAGGTTCTATAAAAATTCTTTGTACAGTAATGGCATATGCAAAATACAGATTGGCTCACTGCATTTGATGCTAACTGGTAAACTTGCAACCAGCACCCACATCTGTCATATCATTGCACCTACAGAGCAATTGAAGCTGACCTCCTGATTCTGATGATTGAGGCCTTCTGCTCAGAGCTCGCCTTGAAGAATCTGTTGCAAATTGAGGCCCTTGGCTTGCAAGCACAGCCTTAGCACGAGCAGAGCGGAGCGTGGATGCAAGAAGCTTCTAGTAGGCGAGCACGGACTTGCGGGCGGCCAGAAACTTGTCGAGCCTGTCCCAGAAGGTGAGCGCTGCTGTGCGATCCTGATGCCGCTTGTACTTGCTAATCTGGGAGGTGTGGAGGGGTGGAGAGGAGTGGAGGAGAGAGGGGAGATTGGGGTGGGGTGGAGTGGGGGGAAAGGAGGAGGGTAAGGAGCAGAGTATGTGCAGAGAAAGAGAGGTGTGCTGTGGGGTATGGCATGGAAGGAGTAGAGTATGCGCAGAGGAGAGTATATACCACGAGATTGCATGGGGTATGGCATGGGAGGTCCCTTGTAGGAGATGTAGGGTGTGTGTGTGAATGCTTACAGCGAGGATGCTGCAGTTCCAATTCTTCACTGTGGCTGCTGACTCCACACTGTCGTCCTCAAAGCGCACAAACACCCCCATCACTGCTTGCTCCACGTGCACACATGCATACAAGCATACATCCATATGCATGCACAAACATGCATACATACATGCACACACACAGGCACAGATACATGCACGAACGGAACATGAGCAGCAAGAGTCAAGTCAGTGAGCAGCCACAAGAATTGAGACAATCACCAGTGAAAACTTCAGAGAGTATTCGCATGTGGGTCAGTCTCAGCTCAAGGCAGCAGTCCACACGAGGCGGGGATTTGGAGAGAATATCCGCGTGTGGGCTGCATATGCACGCACCTTTGGAGAGGATGTCGACATGGTCCTTGAAGGGCCACCCCTTGAACTGCCACTCCTTGCCCAGCACAAACACCGCTGCCACTCGGTCCCAGTCCTGCTCGATAGTGTGCATGGGGGACATGGAGGCAGGCCAGGCATGGGGGACATGGAGGCAGGCCATGCATGGGGGACATGGGGGCAAGCTATGCATGGGGGACATGGGGGCAAGCCATGCATGGGGGACATGGGGGCAAGCCATGCATGGGGGACATGGGGGCAAGCCATGCATGGGGGACATGGGGGCAAGCCATGCATGGGGGACATGGGGGCAAGCCATGCATGGGGGACATGGGGGCAAGCCATGCATGGGGGACATGGGGCAAGTCAAGCCATGTATGTGTTTGAGGTGCCTTGAGCATAGACTCCTTGCCAGCCACCCCTTGAACTGCCACTCCTTGCCCAGCACAAACACCGCTGCTACCCGGTCCCAGTCCTGCTCAGGTGGGGCATGCGGGACAAGGGGGCAGGCCATGGTGCACATGCGGGCAGGAAGATGAATGACAGTGGCACAGCCACCAGCACTGCATGGCACGCTGTGAGAAGGCCGAGCCGAGGCAAGGGGGTTGACCAACAACCGAGCTTTGGAGAAATCCAACACCCATGCACATGTACGCTCTAACCAATAATTACCGTCACAAGCAGAACACGCAGAGCACTGAGCGGAATCACGCACCCGTTTCGACAGCCCCTCGGGCCGGTCCCTCACGTGGTATACCACCGCCTTGTCCCGCCCCATCCGCCGCTGCACCGCCACCATCTCGGGCCGCTTCCCCCCCGCTGCTTTCGCCTTCTCCTCCGCAGGCACGTACGCTCCGTCCTCGAGAAAATCTTTCACGTTGAAAATGTTTATCAGCGTCTGAGCTGCGCTGGGCACTAGGATGATCGGCACCAGGCTCCCTCCTGCCGCTGCTGCTGCGCTGCCACTGCCGCTGCCGCCGCCAGAGCTGCCGTGCTGTTTGTGTTGGGATTGGTGGGCCGGGTTGCCATGAGGGCGCGCGTGGCGGGAGGATGGAGGCGGGTTGGACGGCTGAGATCGGCTGTGCTGCCCCTCTGGCTTCCCCTGGGAGGCGACAACTAGAGCACCTGACCCACTGCCACCACCACCAGCAGCACCGCTACCAGCAGCACCACCACTTCCCCCTCTGCCGGGCTGAACGTACGAGGACTGGGTGGGGTTGATTCCCAGCTCCTCCAGTGCATCAGTCCCCATGTAGTCCCGCCACACCTGCCTCTCGTCCTGCCGCCCCCCTCCCCCTCCCCCGCCCCCGCCACCAGCAGCACCAGCGCCCGCGCCTCCTCCCCGCGCGTCCCTGGAGGGGCGGGCGGAGGAGGGGGCGGGCGGGTGGCCGCGTTTGGAGGCCTCCCTATGCGCCACGTCCAGCTTCTTCCGCTCGTGCTCGCGGCGGTTCAGCATGGCCAGCACCGACGCAAACGCGTCCTTCTTGCGAGGGCACAGCAGCACCGTCTCCCGGTCCCTCACCGGCCTCTCTCGCTTGATCAGCTCTCTGATCGCCTCCCTCTCCTCCTCCTCGCTCATCCCCCCGCCTCCCAGTCCCAGCCCTCCTACAGTCAGTCCTGCAGCGGCCATCCCAGGGACAGCTTCTGAGTGATAGGCTATGCCTCTTCCCGTGCCTAGGCCTGCCTGCGATCCTTCTCCCCTCTGCCTCTTGCCGTACACGTCATATCCCCCCGCTCCCCCGCCGTCTGCGCCTGCTGCTCCCGCGTCTCCCCCAGCCCCGCTGGCCCTTTTGTCCGTATCCCATCTGCTCCTCTTCCGAGCCTGATCCCCAGCCTCGGCTGCTCCCAAACCTCCTGGCCCCGTGGCACCATCTACCGCTGCTGACGTGGAGCCATGCGCGCCTTGCCCTAAACCACCGGGAGCTGCTGACGTGGCGGCTCCGGAAGAGGGGATGGACGCGGGGGGCGCGGCGGAAGGCGGAGCGGAGGGGGGAAGGCCGATAGGCGCGATGAGATCGATGGCGTCCGTGGTCTGCAGATGGCCTTCTAGATACTCCTGGCACGGGGGAGAAGAGTGGGGAGGGGGAAAGGGGGAGGGCAGAGAGGGGGAGTGGAGGGAGGTGGAGGGTGGGGGTGAGGGGAAATGTGGAGCTCAGCCGGAGACAGGCGGTCGAACGATCCTTTATCCGACGAATCCCAGCGGTAGTAGGCAGGAAATTGAGAATTCGAGATGCGTGGAAACCGCGAGGGAGAGAAGGGAAGGACGAGGCAGGCACACCAGGAGCGGCTTGCGATCCGTGAAGGTGACGATCTGCAGGGTTTGCGCGCGCGCTCGCTGCATATACTCCGTGTGCTTGACCGCCTTGCACTGCACGAACAGCAGCAGCGACTCCAGGTTGTAACGGTCACCGCCGCGCCGCCGGTATGCCGTTTCGACGGCGCGAGGGAAACGGTACTCATTGCCGAAACAACAGTCATCGCCGACAATGGTAACCCTATCCAGCTCGTTTCGCATGGTGTATTCACGCAAAACCGACAAAGGATCCATGTTCTTTTATCTTAGATATATTAATGGATTAACCTATTTGGCCTATGAGTCCCACCAAGAAGACAGGACAAGGCACAGAAAGGACAAAGCACAGACTGGATTAAGAGAAGGCGGCGACGAAATTGGCGTTCCCGTAGCACCCAGTATCAAGAGTAGGAGTCAATCATCTATGACCTTTTTGCTGCCTCACTAGAATGACTGGGAAGGAGTGATGAGTCAGGGGTGGTAAACATTTCCTTGGAAACAACAGGGATTGGAGTTCAAAAAGATGACGGGAGCAGGGAAGAGGGGGGTGAATGAGTGGTGTTAGGGGTTTAGATAGGGTGAGGATGGGTGGTGGTACACCTGGGATGTGATTTCCTTGACACTGGCGAAGTTGGCGAACCTCGCACGTCCTCGCACAAATTGTACAGGCTCCGCCATACCCTCCGCCATTTTCAGCGTGAATCGAGACTTTTGCTTGACGCCAAGCTCGCAGAACTTTCTCATTCCACAGACCAGATCGTGTCCTTCGCACGTGTTCTTAAACATATCATTCCGCAGCATTCTTTCCGTTAGTGCAAAGGACGATCGCGTGAAACGTGACTGACCGTAGCTTTTGCAGACGAAGCATCCGTTTTCAAAAGGAAATCCGCACGGGCTCTTTTGAGCAGCGGTATGGCTACAGAGGCGACTCGCGAGGTGAGCACTCGAAATGCGCCTTGAAAACCAGCAGACGACGTGTCAATCTTTGAGTAAACTCTAGGATGCTGTATCATTGGCAGTCACTGATAGGCAGATTCGCCGTCTCGCGCTATCCTGGCATCTCTGATTTGCTCCGCGTTGTATGGATGTGCTATTGTGCGCCGTTCCATCCGCTCCCAGTTCGTCATTGCTCTCTCACCCGCTCCTCGTACCCACTCCTCTCCCCTCCAAGCTCAGCGTAACCGCCCGTTACTACTTCCGTGGTATCCTTCTTTCCTTTCCACTCATCCGCTCTCCGTCGAACATCTCCCATCAGCAACCCTCTTCACATCGCCATCGCTTATGTATCCCTACCTCTTGCAACTGCCACCTCTCATTCGTCAACATTCCTTGAATCCAGGCGTTCGTGGAGCTGCAAGGGCGACTCGTGGAGACGGATAGCAAGCTGAAGCAGGTGAGGGTGGGGCAGGTGAGGCTGGGGCAGGTGAGGGTGGGGGATGACTTCTGCGTCGACTCAATATCCTTGTCCGCACGCGTTCGTGGGGCTGCAAGGCCGACTCGTGGAGACGGACAGCAAGCTAAAGCAGGTGAGGGCGGGGTGTGCAGGGCAGGCGGCAGAAGCAGGTGGGATGGAATGAACAGCAGCGAAGGTGGAGAAGTGGGATTGGGTGTAGCAAGAGAAGGAAAGAGGGGGGAGATGTTGCTGCAGTTTGGGGATGTGGGTAAGTATTCTTTCATGGGTACGATGAAGCATCTAAGCGGCTCACACAGGCCCAATGGCGCCGCTACCAGTGCTGCTCTCTTTCATCACTCGTCATCTCCCTCCTCGCGCAGGTGCTAGGGCAGGAGAAGGTGTGCGAGGTGGACGTTTTCACGGCCAGAACGACCCTGGACGAGCTTCAAGAGCTGTCCGCAGAGACGAATGTGTATCAAAGCATTGGTGAGTGTGAGCAGAGACAGTGCAGCGGTGTAGAGAAACCAAGACGGTTTAGATTAGTCGTGAGGCAGAAATAGCTTAAGTTTGGAGGATTTCTCCTCCTTTCCGATCCTTCTCATTTCTCCTCTTTCCCTGTCCCGTTGGTTGCTTCCTCGTGCATGGTACTCACTCGGTGCATGTGGACTTTCTCGTCCGGTGTTGCATCAACCCGTGAAATGCCTCCTGCTCCATTCATAATCTCAGGAAGAGCGTAAGTCAGCATAAAGATTCACTGCTTTTTACACGTGACTCTATCTCTTTTCCTCCACCCCTCCATCCCGCCCTGCTCCTCTTCTCGTCTCTCACTGAAAGTCAGTCCCATGCCCCTATCCTCGCCTCGCCTTCATGTTGGCATCGCTTCAGGGCACTGCAAGTAGCCGCCGGCCTTGCACCCGCATGTACCATGCCATCCAGGTTCCTGAGGATCGCATCTCTTCATCCACTCAGCATATCCGCATGCTCCCACTGGCTCGCCCCATAACCAGGTTTGTGCTGCAGCCACTAGAAGAGGCGAGGGCAACGGAGGAAGGCAAGATCAAAGAGGCCGAGGCCACCATTGCGTCCCTGCAGGTCCGCATCTCCCACACTGTTTACCCTCCCACTGCCTTCACTCCCACTGCCTTCACTCCCACTGCCTTCATTCCCACTGCCTTCACTCCCACGCCCTTCACTCCCACACCCTTCACTCCCACACCCTTCACGCGTGTGTGTGTCATCTCCTCATGATGCCTCATATTCCCCACATTCCCAAATGCCCCCCATACCGAGATGGCGCCTTGCCTTTCTTGCTTCCTCTGTGTGCGTTGCATGGCAGGGGTCAAAGAAGTATCTGGAGAAGCAGATGAGGGAGGTGCAGAGCAATTTCAAGGAGCTCATGGAGCAACTGCCCGCCTCCATCCCTGGTTTAACACAAGCCATCAATGGCTGACCGGGGTAACTGCACTTGTGTAGATACATGTCTCTTGAAGAGTTGGGTGCGTTGGCTTATAAGGGCTGATGTGATTATCAGATGAAATCCCTAATATTGCAGCACTTCCAGCTCTTTTGTTGAGCGGGGCTATTCGTGCAGCAACAGCTACATATTCCAGCAGTAATGCACAAGGATATACCGTATACCGACCGGTACCAGAAATTTAAGTCCTCCTCTTGCGCAGCACTAAGCCTCGCATGTGGCTGTGAGGCGGGCAATCACATGCGACAGCACCTCTTTCTTTGACAGCCTGTAAGCCAAAGCCGCTTCCCAGTCCGGCAACTCGCGCACAAACTCAGGCGGGCACATGAGCGGCTTATCCCCGGGGTAGGTCCCATATAACACCTGCTCCTTGCACGCCTGCACCACATACATGCGCTGCTCATCCCCCTCCCGTGTCGTCCCCATGGCCTGCAGCATCTGTTTCGCGCGCTCGAGAATGCCCGTGCCGGCTGCGGGGATGGAGTCCCCGAGGTTGTCGGGGAGCGAGGCGGCGTAGTCGTCACACGTGGTCTTGGGTTCCTTTAGCCAGCTGTAGTCCACCACTGGCCGTGCTAGTGCAGCATAGTCAGGGGCTGTGGGGGAGAGGTAGAGAGTGAGGGAGGAAGAGAGAGGGAGAGAAAGAGAGAGGGCGAAGCGGGAGAGGAGAAAAGGGAAGAGGAAGAGAGAGGGAAAAAAGGTGAGTGATGTCGGGAGAGAGAAAGTGGGTGACAGGCAGGAGGAATACCGTAGAGGAGGCGGGCAGCTGTGCTCTTCCATTCAGCAAGCCAGAAGTTGGAAAAGGGGAAGATGATGGTAGAGGAGGCATGATAATACACAAAGAGGTGTGGAGCTGATCTCACCTTCCTTGTTCATCACGTGTGCATGCAGGGCTGCCAGACCTCCCAGCAGCCTCGGATCGAGCCTCCCGCCGAACCAAACTCTGAGGCTCGCCTGTGTGTCAATCCTGAACTCTGGCTCGTCTGGTATGCCCTTGTACCGGTCCTTGGTCACCTCCGCCTTGAGTGCCTTTTCCATGTCAGCAAACACCTGCTCCACGTCAGTCTGCATGCATGCCACGTGGAGAAGAGGGAAGATAGAATCACATGAGCATTCAGGCAGAAATATCACATGCAGAGAGGAATAACTTGGACTTACAAGAGGTAGTGCAATGGCCAAGGAACAGAGAGAGAAAAGAACACGGATGGAAACAGCATTTCCTGCCATCAACGAATACTTAACTCCATACCTCCATGTCCCCCCCCACTGCTTTACCTCCATATCGCCCATGCACAACCCCCCCACCCTACCTGCACGCCCCCCGAGCTCCGTACCTCCATGAACGATTCCCAGTGCGTTCTGAAGTAGGTTCGGCCGAAGAAGTCGATGGCGGCCTCGGGGAATTCAAACACGTCCGCGCTGTCCCGGTAGTTGGTGCCCAGCGCCATGCCGCGGGTCAGCAGCGCCTCATCGTTCGCTAAAAGTCCGGTCTCCACGCTCACGTGCTGGCCCTGGGAGATGTTGGCCGTGGCTGTGAAGGTGATGTGCGTGTCGTTGGCCTGGTGAGAGTGAAGGAGATGTTGGGAACGGAGGGGTGAGGGACCTACAATTGCGAGGGATGGAGGAGAGGCACGGATGTGGTGAGTGCAGGAGGAGATGAGAAGCGTAGGGAGTAGAGGCGCAGTGAATGGGAAAGACTGAGTTGCTGAGAGGCAAATCAGGACGGTTTGCACAGGGCACCCACCAGCCACATGGCGACAGGGTCGTTGTCCGTGTCAAACAGATCCGCATAGGGGAAGAACACTGTCTCACTGCCGCTGCTCGCAGCATTGCTGCTGTTGTTGCTGCCGCCACTGGCATCACCGCTGGCAGTGCTGTTGCTTGTAGGGAGTGTGAACATACGCGACGTGACCATGCCCACCGCCCACAGGAACTCCTCCTCACTTGCATTCGCAATGGCCTCTGGCCGGCACTTTTTGTACTCTTCTGACAGCATCCGCTTGTGCTCTGCTGTCTGTGGCACACATTGCAGAGAAGAGATTGAGACGGGCTTGAGTGAGGCACAGCACAATTGAGGAGAGACGGCTTGGTTGAGACGGAATTGGGGAAAAAAGCGTGGGTGAACGAGACAGACTCGCCACATGGCTGATACAGCATAGGAGACGTAAGTTAAATGGAACAAGAAAGAAGTGAGGGCAGGGGGCGGAGGCTCACAGCTAAGAGCAGTGACTGGGATTGGAGCTCCGTGCGAAGCCGGTCAGAGAAGAGGTGGGGGAAGGGCAGGTGGGCGGGCAGCAGGCGCACGAAGGGCGCCCACAGGGTCGCGCGCCCCTTGCCCCGCTCCCTCAGCACCCACGCCGCCAGCGCCGTGAATGGGTGCACCTGGGGATAAGGGGGGGCGGAGGGTGGGTAAGGGGAGAGGCAGTTGGGGGGAGGGGAATGGGCGCCAGCGCCGTGAACGGGTGCACCTGGGGAGGGTGGGGAGAGGGTGGGGCAAGGGTGGTACGGGTGAAGGGTGATGCACCTGGAGGTGTGTGCCGGGAGGAGGGGGTGATGGGGGGATTTGTGCGTTGGGGGGATGAAAGGAGGGACTGGGTGCACTCAAAAGGAAGGGATACTGCTTGGGGGATGGCCGTTAAGAGATGGTGAGTTGTCTAGTTCTCCAGACCATTATTTGGGTTGGCGCTACTGCAGCTGCTGATAGGCGGGTCACTCACCTCCCCCTCATACGGCTTTGCCTCTTCCTGCGCGTGAGATTCGGAGAGGGCGAGCGAGCGAGGCAGCGACAGAAACGCCTCGCCCTCCGCGATGGGGCGCCGCGCCACCATGCGGAGGTTCGCCCTGCCGGTGGGGTGGGGTGAGGATGGCGGGGGAGGGGGAGGGGGAGGGGGAGGGGGAGGGGGAGGGGGAGGGGGAGGGGGAGGGGGGTTTGGGGGTGGGGTGGTAGGCAAGGTGAGGTAAGGGAGTGCTTACTTTATACGCTTCAAGGGGAAGAATTAAGGATGTGAAGACTAACTGCCAGTTACTTTGGGAAAGGTAAAGTGGGAAAGCTGTGCTGGGGAGAAGAACAAACTGCAATGATCTGACTTGGCTCACCGTGACCTGCCGGACGCCTTGAGAGTGGTGTTGGCGTCAATGAATACCTGCACGCATGCGAGTGGTTTGCACAGGATTGGGTCAGTAAGAAGATAGCTCGATTTTCCTGACAAGGAAAACGTCCATCGTTTAGTCAATGCCAACCGTTCGACACCTTTTCACTTGTTCTGAGCTCAGTCAATCGTTCAAAGCCATGATCACTTTCTGGTATAGCTTATTTTCCCACTGCTTTCATTCAGAACACCGCCAACCATCCAAGGACGTATGCCCGTCACACGTCACCTCACCTTAACTGCCGCATCCTCGTCTCTAATCCCTTTCACGCCTTTATCCTCCAGCCACGTCAGCAGATCTTTCACCAACCGCTCCTCCTCCTCAATTCCCGCTATTTTCGGATTGAAACCCTCCGGCCCCGCTGCGCCTGTCGCCGCGTCTGCCGCTCCGTTCGCCGCAGTAAGGTCATCCGTAGAGATGAATTGATCCGCCGCTACCCCTGCGGCTGCTTCCAGTCCCAAACCCACGCCTGTGCCTACACTATCTCCTAAATCTGCGGCTGCAGCGGCAGAGGCGGCAGCGGCTATGCTTGAGTGAGAAGGATTTGACGCATCATTGCCGACAGGGGGTTCGGCTGACGAGGCTGCGGAGGATCGGAGCACGAAGAGTAAGAGCAGTAGAAGAAGATGCACGACGGGGCTGTGGATGATGGTGGTTGCGATGGACGAGCGATGCGATGACGCGGCCATGCCGCGTGCAGTCAGCGTATACTTCGTGCAAGTGATCCGTTGGTGATCAGAGAGGGATCCGTGTGCGGTCGGTGTGCAGTACTTTAGTGATCGTTTCGACGCAGGCGGAACGGGCGCAGCGAAAAGCTGGCTTCAATTCACGTTCATGAAGAATGATAACGAGACACCTTCTGACCCACGCAAGGGGACCATCGGCACACGTAAAAGGAGACAATAATCACTGTCGTAAGCACACACGCGATCTTCGGTTGTGCCGATTCGGGCTACGCGGCGCGACACACTAAAGCAATGGATGGTGCGAAGAGCGAGAGAAGAATGAATCCTCAAAAGAGGGTGGTATTATCTCCCGCGAACAAGGCAATGGGAGAGCCAGAAGTCCCAAGATTGCTGATGAACGGTATCTCAAGGTTGTCAAATGAGAGCTCAAGATTGCTGATGAACGAGAAAGCCCGAGAAGGAACAACTCTGATCGAGCGCGCGTAGTTGGCTGACTTCGCAAGCCGCGTCCCAGTATGCAGGGAATGAAGACGCATCACTTCCTGCTGAGAATATTCCAAATCCACCGACACGAATTATTCCACTTACAATATTAAAGTTTATCAGCATAGCCACTAGGTATGGAAAACCATATACAATATAATCACAGTAAATTTTGAAGTTCAACATTAATGCTCCATACTAATCCAGTATTAAATAATGATCCAGTAGAGGTCTCGGTATCAGTTATCCAGCCTAATGTTCCATAGTTCTATTTACTGATCCAATATCAATTACCGTATCTACTATACTGATCTACTTGATAGTAATTTGCTAGTTTACTACGGTAATGTACTACCCATGCACTGTATGTGTGCATGGGGGGTTCCTCTTGGCCGCCAGGAGCAGAGTGTTATAAGTTGTGAAAGGAAAGAGTGCGCAGAACTCAATAGTGCGGAAGTGATTACTGTTGGGAATAATAAGTCTTAAGCGCCTCTGTCGTGTCGAAACTCAGGACACTAGCGAAGCAGTCCGGATCGAAGCATCGCGAGTCAACCCTCGGAGGTTAGGGTAACCGCCTGGAGGTTACGAGAAGGTCAAAGGTCAGCGACCTTTGACTTGACAAATACAGCGCGACAGCAAGGACACACAACTGACTCGACATTGAGCAGTTGCCCGAGTCGCACTGTAGCGAATCGCAACAGTAAAACGGTTTTAACTTATCTATTCGTATTTCTTGTACTCTTATATAAACCTTTGTATTTGCTTGTTTAATTAACTTACTTTGCCCTCACATACTAGCGCAAGGTGGTTCAAGTACTTTCATTCAAACGCTTCCGCCACTACAATTCTACTCAGACTTAAACTCTACAAAGATCCTAGGGCATTTCAGCCCAACATGGTATCAGAGCAGTTAGAGTTTTAAAGATTATTTTCCTTTTAACACTCAATACAAAGAAGACATGTCTGCAAGGAAGGAGAGGAGCTCCTCCAACGGCTCTCCAGGCACTACTCCTACTCCACCTCCTGTCTCTGGTCTACAGACAAAGGAAGGGACTACCACGAGAACAGCAGCTGGGTCTACGGAAACGCCCGCAGGCTTCGATCCAAGCATGATGGAAAAGTTCTTCTCCTTCATGTCTTTCTACGAGCAGCACCAGCAAGGAGCACCTGCGCAATCAAACAACAGCAACAACAACAACAACGTGACGCCTATGAGTCTCGATGGCTCATCCTACGCACGCGGGATTCAACAACAACAACAACAACAGCCTACCTTTGCGCCATACGAGCCCCAGCGTGGCTCCGTCAGCTTCATGCCGCAACCGCAACCTGTACCAGGACAAGAAAGGGCATTGGATCCGTTACAAGTTCAATCGCAATTCGCGCATGTCTTAAAACTACAAACGACAAAGCCTTTCGACGGCAAAGATTTCTTCACCTGGTCGTTCGAGTTCGAACTGATGATGGAAAGAGCACAGATTCTCGGCTTCTTCGACGGGTCCCTGCCATATCCAACAAACGGGACGCAATATGAGAAGCAGCAATATACTTATCAATCGATGATGGCGTACACGATACTGCTGAGGAACATCACCCCGACCCAGCAGCAGAACATCAGGACTTACCGAGGCTACGGCAACTCCGCGGAGCTCGCGTACAACCACCTGAAGAACCTGTATCAAGCAACAGACATCTTAAATCAAAGCAGGTTAATGGCGCAACTGACAACGATTGAAATGAAACCAGGCGAGAAAGGCATGGCTTATATCAGCCGCTGTCGCGAACTGCGCGACAAGCTTCTTCGATGCGGCGGGTCGATTTCAGAAGACGCCTTTGTCACGGTGGTCATCGGCGGTCTCGGCCCCCACTGGCGCTCCACTCGCGCCATATTACGAGCACACGGGAGGATTTCCGAAGCGGCACTCTGCGCCAAAATTCATGCTGAGCAGCAAGACATGGACCTGCAAGAAGAAAGACACAAGAAGAAAGCATTAGCACCAGAGTTTGCGTTTCACACTCAGCGACGATACAACGGCAACAACAACCGTCAACAACAAGTAAAGACAGTACCTCCGTTCTGCCACATCTGCAAGACTTCGGGCCATCCTCGCACGCACTGCCCGTCTCGTCAGTCAACACCACAGCGACAACTCCGGCCTTCAAGCTCCCAAGTTGCTTCAACGCAAGCAAGTCCGACGACCACAATCCAAGCTTCAACGACTTCAACTGGACAACCTGCACAAGGAACAAGAAGCATCGTCAATTGCATGGTGAAGATAACCGATTCGTGCACAACCAAGTCACCACCCCACTACTCACCGGAAGAAGAGCTCGACAACAGGACGCCTCGCCGTGAATCACTCCAGCCGAATCCGACGTACGCCGCCATCGCTCAAAGCGAACCATCTGGCCAAGACACTTGGTTCTTGGATAGTTGCTGCGGACAACACATGTGCTCCTCCGGGCGCTTCGTTCAACGCGAACATCGACTCCAGCGAGAAGTAGTCATCACGGTCGCCAACAATCAGAACCTGCGCACACGACGACAAGAAGCGGTACTGTCAGAATATTATTCTTATGTTCTAGCCTGTAGTGGGGTGCTCTATAGCGAGTACAACCCTTCTAGGGTTTGCTATTTGTATCCCCATTTCTGCTAGTTCATTCCTCTTTCTTTTTCAAACTTTGTCATGCTATCAGAGCAGGTCGATCCCCTTGGATCGATCCTGTGGGTGGGTTACCACCTCGCTTCCGCTGCTTCTTTTTCCTCCCGCCGTGCGCCCCGAGGCGCGCGGCGGTTTTCTGCCCGCCGTGCGCCCCGAGGCGCGCGGCGGTTCTTTGCCCGCTGTGCGCCCCGAGGCGCGCGGCGGGCTTCTGCCCTACGTCGCGGCCCCGCCCTGCGTCGCGGCCCAGCCCCTCGAAGCGGCCCCGACCGTCGCGGCCCCGCCCCTCGACGTGGCCCCGCCCTACGTCGCGGCCCCGCCCTGCGTCGCGGCCCCGCCCCTCGAAGCGGCCCCGCCCTATGTCACGGCCCCGCCCCGACCGTCGCGGCCCCGCCCCTCGACGCGGCCCCGCCCTACGTCGCGGCCCCGCCCTGCGTCGCGGCCCCGCCCCTCGAAGCGGCCCCGCCCTACGTCGCGGCCCCGCCCCTCGTCGCGGCCCCGCCTCGACCGTCGCGGTCCCGCCCCTTGTCGCGGCCCCGCCCTCCAACCAGGCCCGTGGTGGGCCCCTTTCACCACACCGCCCCCCCCCCCCCCCCCCCCCCCCCCCCCCCCCCCCCCCCCTTCCCCCTGCCATTTCCCGTCGTCCGTCGAGGCGACCTGAGGGGGCCGCTTGCGGACGACGGGAGGGGCGAGCTGTGGGGTGGCGGGTATGGGGGTGGCCGGTGTGCCTTCCTCCCTTGCTCCTCCTCCTCCTTCGTCTCCCACTGCTGCAGCTGTCGCTGAGGGGGGTGGTTGTGTGGGAGACTGGGGTTTAGGGTTTAAGGGGGGGTGCGTGGGAGTAGAGCTAGCGGTGTAGCAGTGGGTGTGTATCAGGGGGGTGGGACTGTTTGCGGGAGGTTGAGCGGAGGCTGCCGAATTGTCGTCCGCAGCACCTGTAGTCCGGGGCGCTGTCCCGGTAGCCCAGTCGTAGCCAGCTGTGCCAGCCGCCCGTGGGTCCGTTGCCCGTCCGCCGCTATTTGAGCCGCGGGGCCTGTTACTCCTGTAGTCCGGGCGCTGTCCGGTAGCCGCTGTGCCAGTCTCCCTCCTGTTGCCCGTGTGTCTGCAGCTTCAGCCGTCGCCTCCTGTCTCCTCTCCTCTCACTCTCCCTCCTCCTCCTCACTTGCCCGTTGTGACTACCACTAGCTTTGCTTATAATTGTGAACTCTAAACTATTTCTTCTTGAACTTGTGCTCAGAATGTGTGGTGACATTGTGATCCACCCTGAGCTTGTTTTGCTTTGCCTGCTCTGCTGATTACACCCCACTTTGGCTATGGGGGTGTGTCAGAATATTATTCTTATGTTCTAGCCTGTAGTGGGGTGCTCTATAGCGAGTACAACCCTTCTAGGGTTTGCTATTTGTATCCCCATTTCTGCTAGTTCATTCCTCTTTCTTTTTCAAACTTTGTCAGGTACAGCTTCAGTCACGAGAAACAAATGTCATATTACACATGTCAAAGGTACTTATCGCGGAGGGACTAGGCTACAACTTACTGAGCGTCAGCCAGTTGATGGCGAAAGGCATCCACTTGGAAGCCGACAGCACCACCCACGAGTTTAAGTTATACCACGGGAAGGGCGGCCTCTACATCGGAAAAGCAGTGTTGAAGAATAACGTCTTCGTCCTCGATTTCGTCCCCGACCTGGGCACTGCAAACAGCGACGCCATCGTCAACTTCACCGACTGGACTCATCCTCCGGATCTCGATCCCGACTTCAGCCCAGGAGGTTTCTAGTACTCGCACACCATCCCTGAAGCAGAACGAACACGAGCATTAGCAACGATTCAACAAACGACAGCAGCAGAGACAACATCGACAGCA